TTCCCTAAAAGAAACATATACTACAAGAAAGATTCTGTGTCCTTAACTACAGGAACCAGGATAATGAAAAGGAACCCGGGAGGTAAAGGAAAAAAAAAAACCTGAGAGAGAACAGTAGGAAACAGGTGTTACTAAGGGAGAGATGGATAAAAATGAGGTTATATAAATGGGGGGCAAGGAACCTTGGGGATAAAGGGAAAGAAGGAGCTCAAGAGAAGTGGGACCATAGGAGAAGAGTATTATTAAGGGAGAAATGGGGAAAATGGGGGCACTTTAAATGGGGAAATCATGGTGGAAGGGTTAAACAGTGAGAGAGATAAATAATGCCTAGCTAGTTTTTCTAATGCCTAAAAAACCAGAGGGAACCATGTTAGTCCAAAAACCTAATAACAAATTATATATACAACTAGTTCAAGGAACAAAATATATGTCTAGTCAAGGTTTATCTGAGAACATTTGGGTTTTGCCCAAGCTTTATCTACATAGCACATGGCAATTAAAAATACCAGACCGGTGGAACTAACCTCCTTGGATGTTTAACAGCCATACTTTGAGGCCTATACTAATCTGGTCAGAGGGACCTAAAGGACAGTGTTTGCTCCTTGCCCTCCAAGGTTGACTAAGTTCCAGGGGACTATGGAGCATCTCTCAAAATGTCCTGTAACTGTGGTGAGTCACCTGTCCTCTTGTTCAGGGAGGCCATAGAGGCCCCACCAGATGGACTTGAACCAGTGTCCAGTCTACAAAGAGGAGGGTCAACATAGAGGAAACATTTTATCCATGCTTCCAAGTGAAGCCAGCAACAGTCAAGTAGGACCTTTGACTTACCTCCACATAGATGGAACTGGTAAAAGAAAGGAGCCAGGGGCTCCTCCCAAGCCCATGTGACCCCTGAGGAACAGATCCTCAAACAACCTTGAGAGTAAAAATAAATTGGTTTATTTGGGCCAACTGTATGGTCTTAAACACCCAAAAGAAAAGTATAACCAAAGATTAAAGTGATCAGTATATTTAGAGTCCATGTGTATAGCTAAAGGCTACATAACAAGAAACAGTGCCAGACAGGAAATACCTTCCTTTGAGTTGTTGGCAAGGGTGGCCCAAAAGAGTCCCGGACAGTAACCTAGACTAGGACTGGGAAAATGAACAGCAGACCCCAATCTTATCTAAAGGAATGTTGGCAGTTGATGGCTGCTAGATGAAGAAGAGCATTTCATCCTAAAACAAGGGACTCTAGATAGGCTGATTAGCCTCAGCAGATGGACTTGCACTGGGGAACAGCTGGGAGCGCTGACAACACGGTGGGCAGTAACAGGGATGACAAGAGTGTATGGGTTCCAGCTCGGGGAGAGGGCTATGGGAGGGAGCCATTTGGGATGCGGGTATAAAGATGAATAAGATTGTTTGGGATGTTCTGTATGAAATACACAAAAAGAATCAATTAAAAAAAAAAGATTCTGTGTCCTTGAAAGCCATTTCTATGTAGTGGCTGTTTTCTGTATCGACTTTTTTTTTTTTTTTTAAGATTTTTTTTTTTACTTTTGGTGCTGGAGAAATGAATGGTTCAGTGGTTAAGAGCACTGGGTACTCATGCTGAGGACCCGTGTTCTGTTCCTAGCCCCATGTGGTGACTAACAACCATCCATAACTCCAGTTCTGGGGAATCCTACATCCTCCTGGCCTCTGCAAGCATTGTATGTATATGGTGCACTGACATACATTAAAGCAAAACTCTCATGCACATAAAATAAAATTTTTAAAAATATTTTGTGTATGAGTGGATGGGTGCCATGTACATGTGGGTGCCCAAGGAAACCAGAAGAGGGCTTCAGATTCCTAGAGCTGGAGTTATAGGTGATTGTGAGGCACCTGACTTGGGGGCTGGGAGCCCAACTCAAGTCCTCTTGAAAAGCAGCAAATACTTTTAACCACTGAACCATCTCTCCAGCCTCTCTATGGGCTTTATTAAAGGTGATCTCTGGGTTTAAATTAAAATCTAATACTTAGGTTGGTATCCCTTTGTTAGGGTGAATTTGGTTGTGCTTAGAAGTGATACCTGATTATTTTACTAAAACCTTGACTGACTGGTTTGGTCCAAATTAGCATACCATTTCTTCAACATAGCTATATATATATATATTTTTTTTTTAATATTTTATATATTATTTTTAGTGTATTGCCTGCATGTATGTTAGTGCACCTGTGGTGTGCAATACTGTGGAGGTCAGAAGAGGGCTTTGGATTCCCCTGGAAGTGGAATTAAGGACAGTTCGTAACCACCATGTGGGTGCTGAGAATTGAACCCAGGTCCTCTGCAAGAGCAGTCAGTGCTCTTAACCGCTTAGCCATCTCTCCAGCCCCACCATAGCTATATTTTAAAAGTTTTATTATATATGTTTAGTTTTGAAAGATTTTATTCCTTCTATATATTTTACCTAGATCCCTATTTTGTTAATTTACAATATTCCCAATGTAAGCTTATATTAACTAGTGTTTGACTTCTTGCTGTGCCTGTCTTTTATTAAGCAAGATTTTTAATTTTTGCTGACTTATATCAATTTCTTACTAATGCTGTTTTCTTCCTCTTGATATGTAACTATTTTTGTATTGCTTTGTCCTGTTGATGGCCATTCATTCACAAGGTAAATTATTACTTATATTGGCAGCTACTGTGTGAAGACATTCACAGGACACAGAGAATGGGTACGTATGGTACGGCCAAATCAGGATGGCACTCTGATAGCCAGCTGTTCCAATGACCAGACTGTGCGTGTATGGGTTGTAGCAACAAAGGAATGCAAGGCTGAGCTCCGAGAACATGAACATGTGGTAGAATGCATTTCCTGGGCTCCAGAAAGTTCATATTCTTCCATCTCTGAAGCAACAGGATCTGAGGTACTGTGTCATTTATGTGTCATTTTATGATTTTGTTACTTTGTAGTAGAGCCTTAGATAACTTTTCTGATTCTTAGGCTGCGGTCTGTTGATGCATTTAAGAATCTGCATCCTAGTCAACCATGGTGAAACACACCTTCAATCCTAGCACTCAAGAGGCAGAGACAAGCAGATTTCTGTGAGTTTCAGGACATCCAGAGCTGTATAGTGAGATCTTTTCTCAAAAACTTAAAAATTTGCATCTTAGAATTCTGAACTTTGAAACCTTTGCTCTTTCCAACAGTCATTAATGTTTATATTTTTTAAATCAGTTATTATTGGACCAGACAGATGGCTCGCTGGATGAAGGCACTTGATGCCAAATATTGCAACCTGGATTTGGTCTCTGGCACCCATATGGTGGAAGGAGGGAAATTACCCCCCACACACAGACTCTCTTTTGCTCTCAATATATAAGTGATTGTTATTGCTGCCCAACACACTCTTGATTGGATATGTTTGGGATAAAGAGTCCCCTGAATAGAAAAGTAGTCATTTAAAACCAGGTGTGGTGGCATGCTTATAATCCCAGCACAAACTACATCCTAGTAAACAAAGGAGGAAATCCCTCCTGTATCCCAATTATTTTTCTAAATGAAGCTTATATTTGTGATCTCTTCATTTGGACTATCGCATTTTCAAATTTTTTATGCTACCCTCTGGTGGTTCTTTCATACAATATTGTAACTTGGCTTTCTATATATAAAAACTTATATGAAAACCGAATTAGTTTTTAAATCTTTATTTTGGAGGGGGTGCCTTTTTTGTTGTTGTTGTTTGTTAACAGGGTCTATAGTTCCAGCTGGCCTGAAACTTACTATGTAGAGTAGGCCTCAATCTCAGATCTGCTTGCCTCAGCCTTCCTAACACTAGGATTAATGGTGTGTTCACCATGCTCAGCTAAAAATCCGTTTTGATCACAGAATGGATAACTAAGCTCAAACTTGGCTTTCTTCATACTAGGCAAATCTCCATTACTTAGCTATATATCCCTAACCCTGATTATATATGCCTTGAGCAGTAAATTTATCATTTGTTGGTGTTATCTAGGGCCGCCTTTTCTAGTTTGTAGACTAGATATGGTGACAAAAAAACAAAATACACATATTTAATAGATGAAAACATTGTAAGATTAGAAATATAGATTAACTAGAAGCTATTTAGGTCCTTACCTAGCTCATCTTGCATAGGAAAATAAATTTTTATGTTTTCTGTAGACTAAAAAAAGTGGCAAGCCTGGGCCATTCTTGCTATCTGGATCCAGAGACAAAACTATTAAGATGTGGGACGTCAGTACTGGCATGTGCCTTATGACCCTTGTAAGTTTGTATAATCTTATCACTTCTTTGGCATCTTCACTGTGTTTTTAACTTTGGGGATTAAATGCTTTGTAATATTTTAGTAAATAATCTCAATTCTGGAACTGTAACTTCTTTTTTTTTTTTTTAAATTTATTTTTAGTGTGTGAGTGTATTGCCTGTGTGTGCATGTGTAAGTGCATCCATGTTGTGCAATGCCTGTGGAGGCCAGAAGGGGATCCTCTGGAACTGGAGTTACAGACAGTAGTTAGCTGCCATGTGGGTGCTGGGAACTGAACCTAGATCCTCTGCAAGAGCAGC